GGTAGTGGTAGTGGTAGTGGTAGTGGTAGTAGTAGTGTTAGTAGTAGTAGTAGTAGTAGTAGTAGTAGTAGTAGTAGTAGTGGTAGCAGTAGTAGTAGTAGTAGTAGTAGTAGTAGTAGTAGTAATAGTGGGAGTGGAACTGACTGGAATTGGGATTAAACGGAGGAGCAGGAGCAGGAGCAGGAGCGGGAGCGGGAGCGGGAGCTGGAGCAGGAGCGGGAGCAGCAGTACAAGTTGCAAGTTGCAAGTGGCAGCAGCAGCAACAGCAGCAGCAGCAGCAGCAGCAGCAGCAGCAGCGGCTCTTGTACAAGCCCAACTGTTCTGGGTTGCAGGATCGTTGCAGTTTACCTTTCCATCTTCCTGGCGATCTCAGCCGCTGTGTCCATCCAGATTGGGCTTATGTGCCAGGGCTGCATGGAGAATGTGCGGCCCAGGGGTTCGTAAGGATTCCTTTCAAAACATAACCTCAACAAACTTCAGACCAAACACAGGCGGTGTAAGTCACAACGGCGATTCGGGATGGGAGGGAGTAGAGAGAGCTGACGATGCTCACGTCGAAGATACCTCCGACCACGCTCGAGAAAGGGTCAGAGCGCTGCAGTGGTGCAGTAGTAAGGATGGGTGATGCAATGGCGTGACTCAACCGTGTGTGCCTTTCCAACTTAGCCATTATGATGAGAGTCATAAGCCAGGGTGAAGAGTTGCATACAGGGTTTCATTCATGGTCCTGGACTTGAACGACTCAACAAGACCACCCAATCTGCCATCTGTTCAGGAACGGAAGCGGCTGTGAGCAGGAAATTGTTGAGGCCAACTTGACTGCACATCAGGCAGCCCAGGCCAACGGCTGGAACAGCTCTGCGCCCATCTTCGATCCGGAGATGTGGGTTTGTTCACGCGCCGAAGACGTGCTGGCAAGCACTGCGCTGGTGGAGTCGGTTTCTGAATGGATAGGAGCTGCTGTTCTGTGCCTGCTCACTTTCTTCATCGGGAAAAGGCGCGGGTACTTTTTACCACATGGCTGCTCATTGAAGCGATATGCCACGGACAAGGACGCGGCTGCAGTGGCATACGATGCGTTCAGATCGCATGCAGGCGTGGCAGTGCGATCCATTCTGTTCAACACTATGGACATGATTTCTCCGGCAATCTCTTTGGGCATTGGCGTCACCGAAGCTGCCGTTTTCAACTTTTTTGCGGAGATGGGCTTTATCTCGTACACTGTGCCAAACTTAATATCTGCCGGTGCTATGATATTGGGTCCCCGTCTTCTTGGACAGGGAAGAATCGATGAATTCCGAATGCTCGTGCACCTGCACCGCTGGATTGCCCTGTTCTTCGGAGTTGCATTTACCGTCTTCGCATACCTTACTTCTGAAGTTTCGATTTCCGATGAGTTCACGAACAAGGTGGGCATGGACAACATTGACGGAAGCTTTTTTGAAGTAAGTAGGCAGTGACAAAGTCCTTGTCAGGTGGATGGCTCGTTGTTCACGCCGTTGGCGGACGCAGTGCACCGTTGATCGCATTGTCAGGCAGACTCACACAACGTCTTTGATTTTGGAAGTTTTCAAGTGTAGTAATTGGTAGTCGAGTCGCCGGTTTGTGGCCGCACTATCTCTTGGCTGATACTCCAGCAAGATGCTCGCTTGCACTGCAATCTGAGGTATCCTGCCGCCATCGTGCTGCAACCCTTCCTCGCCATGATCGGCGTCTACGGGCCTCTGCTAGTGGCCTGTCAGGGCTACGCGACTTGGCCTTGACTCTTTGGGCCCTTACCTCGCGCATCTCACGCTCATCCTCTCGCTTGAGGTAAGCTGGGGGATTTTGGTGGCGGTTCTCTTCTTCCTGGTATACCTGCCACCAACCATCGCTGCAGCAGTTCTAGGCGACGGCTGACCGGATCTGCGATTCACCAGCGGTTTTGCCGATCCCGCGTTGCATCAGGAGACGTGCATCTTCTCGTTTATGCACAGCTGGCTTTCGCAATTCTGCAGCTGGTCTCAGTCGCGGCTGTGGAAGGTGAAGTAGGAAAGTCGCTGAAGTCCTTGATGACGATTGTTTGTCGGGCCATAGACTATAGACACTTCACGCAGCAGAACAGTTGAAGCATGCAGCACGAAAACGAACCAGCAGCCTGCTCTTGACATGAAGTGCAGTCCGTCAAGGCATGGCGCAAGGCCCAAACAACTCAACTGGTTCCCGAATTTGAGGCACTTCGTTGGCGTCTACTACTTGGTCCACTTCCGTCTCTCGAAGTGGACAAGCAGTGGTCATGGGTTAAGACAGGGCTTTGGTCAGCATACGTAAGCTCCTGCAGAGTGCTGGTTCCTCCCGAAAGGAGTCTATGTGCAGGAGCAGGACTTAGATGCATCTGGAGTGGCGATCGAGCACTTAGGGGAAGAAGAAGTGAAGTACGATGCCATCATGATGTCAAGAAGAGTTGACCTGTTTCGGCACTACTAGATCACACAAGACCCAACCCCAAATAACCGAGTCGCAGCGCTACGCTCCACCCAAGGTTTCCTTCCAGCTGTTTGCGTCACCGATGCGGCCACCCGCGCCGCGGTGCAGGACGGTGGCGCAAGCTGTAGCCACGTTAGCTGCTGGTGGCTCGGACCTTAATGTGAAGCGCATGTTAGGGAGCGAACTTGTTCATGCACTCCTTGCCCATGAGGGAAGATGTCCGGTTCTACGTTGCCTTTACACTGCCTTTGCTGCCTTGCCCTCCTTGATTTTTCCGCGGGTTTGTTTGCCTGCGTTGCACTTGCCTTGCACTGTTTTTGCTGCACTTGCCTTGCCCGCACTGTTTTTGCACTGTTTTTGCACTGTTTTTTTTCACTGTTTTTTGCACCTACGTTGTTGGTGCTTGCGCTGATTCTGTTGCACTTGCCTTGCCTGCACTGTTTACTGCTTTGAACTGTCTTTGGGCGCCTCATTTTTCTCCTGCACTGCTTTTTGGTATGCCATGACCTTCTGCCACGGCCCTGGCCTTAGATTCCCGGATGCCCTCACTTACCTCGCTACTGTCAGTCGTATGTCTTTGTCGATGGGTGATGTTTCTGCGTGGGTGGATGACACAAGGCTGGCGGGTTATCCCTGCTTTCCCGCTTTAGAACAGAAGACCCAGACCCCTTGAGAAGCTATCGCACGCGGGTTATCCCTGCGACCAGGCAGAGAAGATGCGGGGAGGGGGGGGGCAAAATCCCTTGCAGGCTTGATGATGGTGCTGGCAGGTGTATCCCTGCCATGTGCAGAGCACCCGGAGACACAAGCGTAGACCCCTTGTGCAGCCATGGCCAACGCTATCCCAGCAGCTGTGGTGCTTGCGAAGACCGGAGCACAGGCCTCATGGGGCCTCTGGCGGAAGTCACTTCAAGACGAGGGGGCTGCAGCAGCCTACTTGATCCTACAGCTGTGGTAACTGACCCAGGGCGCTGAGGGTAGTGTGAGACACTGGGGATTGCACAGTACATCCCAACCTGGACACAAAAGTATGACGGAGCATGGATGATGTGCTCACGTGAGCTGGGACAGTACTCGCGGTCCCCAACTGGCTGCTGATGGTGAGCACACTGGAAGAGTGGGACCTTGTGGCAAGACGTTTTATTAGTGGGACACGGTGCTGTTTCGGGAATGACAACCTGGCGGCAGATGAGATGACCCTGCGCGGCATGTGTCTGTGCTGTGATATGGTCGTTTTGTGGACAGCCCGACTACAACACACACGGCGAGAAGGACGCTTGGCCAGACGGCTGCGGTCGGTGGGAACGAAAACGAGTGGGATATCCTCTGCCTGTGAGTGGAAGGCTGTTTGCTGAGACTGCTGTGTTGGCGGAGGCAGCGAGCAGGCTACTGAGTTGGGCACAAAGCTGGCTTGGTGGCTGACGATAGGAGGGATGGCCACTCTTTTGCGGTTTTTCTGCTTGAAGCATCTCCTGCATGGGGGGGTCGCTATGAGAGCAGCTGCTTTACGCCTGAGCGTGGGCGTGTGCTTTCAGGCTTGCTTAACTGCCTCAATGCGGCATGTGCAAGACCGGGCCTGATGGATGCAGCAGGTGAGAACGCTGGGAGAGTGGAATGCCTGGAGTGTTTGTAGGGATGTCGCTTTGGGTGTGATTGAGTGAGTGAGGAGGTGGTAAACTGCTGTATAGCTTCGGGATGTGCTAACTAGGATTGTCTGTCTGTCCCTGCGCCTCAGTGCGGGGATGGCTCGAAGCCAATGTGCTTTGGTTGGATTCTGAGTGAGTGATGGAGCCAATGAGCTTTGGATAGTGACCGCATTGTACTGAAGCCTCGCCTGCTTTGTCGAGTGTGAGTGCTAAAAAAAAGATTTGCAGGGAGCCTACTTTGGAAACAACGGATAACGGATGAGCAATAAGGCTCAAAAGACGAAGGTCACCGTTTTTGAAGACTGCTCCTTCAAAGTACCGCGCTCGGGAAAGGTGGGAAGTACCAAGTTGTCACGAGGTGCCATGTCCAGACATGGAACAAGTCTCTGTCAAATGGCTCCAAACCACTCTATGGGACGCGTGCCGGTAATTTGCTGCTTCGCTTCCGGACTCCTGCAGCTTCAGTAAGTACGGACCGGGTTTGCTAAGCACTCCGAGACGCTCTCTTTGTTCCCCCGGCCGCATGTCTTTCGCTTCTGGTATTCAGTTTGGCCAGGACACGAAAGCGGACGAGTGAGCCGCAGACGTGGCTGAGTAGCTGCGATTAAGTCTTGGGGTCCACATATTCGATGCCGGTCTGCCTGGAACTCTGAGAGCCCAATGTCTCCTCATGGAGGGACACTGTGTGTGGGTTAGGCAGTACGCTTCAGGATACACCAGCTCAGGTTGGCAATGCTCAGCTAAGTAGGATATGCTTGATCATGGGTGTGCTTGTTTAAGCAATGGGCTCTGTGGGTGAGATCCCTTGCATGGGCTTGATGGCTTTAGGGTCCTTTGCGGAGTTCTCTCAAGGAGCAGGGTGTCAGCGAACGTTGACACGCCACATCTCTGCACTTTCCCGCCCTGGTGGATCTTTTATCACACTGTCCTGACAATCATTACAAGCCGACTGCTGTGCAACCAGCGTGGCTTACGTGTCTCAGGTTGTGATCGCAAGTTGAAAAAGACATGGCGAGTGCGCCGTAGTTCAGCTTCTCCTGATTGATGGCGACATGGGTCTTTGCTTCCCTGAATCGGGTTTGCGGTGTCGAGTTCAGTCCTTATCACCGTATGTGCTATTATTCTGATTCATGATGTGAAAATGTAAAAAGAGTAAACATGTGTTTGATTGTGCTTGTATATATATGGTCCAAGCATGATGACACCAATCTTCTGCGAAAAGTAGTTGGAAGCAAGCAGACCATGTCAATCCATGTCATGCCAGCAGCGAAAAAAGTCGAACGGGACACGCAGCACCGAATCCGGGGTTGTCATATGGAAGAGCTGAAGGCTGGTGCCAAGCCGTGGTCCCTGACAAGATGGGTGTTGTAGTTGCGAGGCAGACTTGAAGTTGATAGATGCGGAATTACCCAAGGCCCCACTGTCCATACCGATTTCTTGCTGGCCCAGTGTGTGAAGCAATCGCTGCTCCCAGACTTTCAGGGCACGTGCGAAATAGAGTTGGTGGACTCCGACTTGTTCCACTGGGAGGCCCTGGCAGTACTGCGGCATTTGGCGGAGTCTCCGTGCAATGTTTTGCAGGTAGCTTTGGCCGGGCCAATTGGTAGCCCGCACCTTGCCTGCGAAAGTTACTTGTTGCCAACCGCCGATGTTCCAGATGTTGGTTTGCAGCATGCAGGTACAAAGGTGGCACCTTCAGATTCCAAATATGGTACCCTTGGCAGCCTTAAAGGGCTTTATTGGAGGACTGCATGGTGTTATGACGTTGCACTATGGGAGTTTCCGAATATTAGGGGTACCTTATTTTGGGGGTCGTTATAATAAGGATCCTATTAATTAGGGTCCTATATTTGGGTCCCCTATTTTCGGAAAGCCCCGTGTGGGACAGGTACCCCATCGACTACCCAACGAAACCGCCGCGGCTGAAGTGCTTGACGCCCGTGTGCGCCTGGTCTCGTCCACGATGTTGTGTTGACCATTCCATACTTGGAGGATCATGGGAC